GAGAGAGAGAGAGAGAGAGAGAGAGAGAGAGAGAGAGAGAGAGAGAGAGAGAGAGAGAGAGAGGGCGCATGAGGGAGGGCATTTGACGATCGTTAATGACCGGACGGACCGCGTAGAGCGAGAGACAGGATGGAGAGAGTGGAGAAGAGCAAGAGAACGGGATATATATGAGGGAGGCAAGAGGGACAGGGCAGATAGAAATCCGCATGGGATAGTAATGTTCAGGCAACTCTCTTTCCTTCATGGAGGCATGCCTGTCCTCACCCCCAGTCCCGCCCTGGATGATTCTGAATGTCGAAAGACAAAAGAAAATAAAAAATGAAGGTGACGAAACATTGACTATGTGATTTTACTACATCCTTTGAGCGCCCCTTCTCTATCATGTACCTTTCTTTCTTTTTCTTTTTTGTTTTTCTTTGTGAGCTGGTATGCTGTCGTCTCTTCACGTCTGGAGCTCCTCCCGTTACTCTATTGCTATCATATCCATTTTGTTTTCTTGATTTCATCTCCATTCTACTGGCGGGGATATTGCCAGACCGGTTGCCTCTCTCCTCTCTCACATCTCGCGCGCGCCGGCATTGATGACGCCAACACCAAATGCTCATTAGCTCTGTGTAGACATCAAGTGCAGAATTGATGATCGCATTTGAATGATTTTAATCAAGTCACGTTGTTCGTCAACTCAGCAACCAATCCTCTCAATCGAGCGTTCTTCCACTCGTCAAGATGGTGGAGGTATCGAGTAAAACATGGGTGAATGGAATTGATTAAACTCGGTGAACAACGAGCGGTAGAGTGGCTGTGTAGAGGACGAGTGTGGTTGGGTACACCGTGTCGCGGGATCTCTCCGTGCTGGGGTGGGGTGAAGTTCTCATCTTGGGGCTTCATTTTCACCCCAGCCCACTTAGCCTTATGGTTAGGCGATTGCCTGCCGAGCCGCGAGTTGTGTGTTCGAGTCCTGTACTCGTCATGCATCATCAAGTATGATTTCAATTAATCCATCGACGTGCTACACACATCATCAGATTGTGTATCACGTTTCGATGTTTCTCCAGGTGTTTCAGACCATAGACGTATTGCAAAATATCGCTCCAGGTGTTTCTCACTCGCCTTCGCTTTTGAGAAAAGTGACTCGAACAGGCGACCGAGAGTCAGTCTCGCCAGCTCGTTATTTTAACAGAATTCGGGATATCCACTTAAGGAAGCCCCCAAAAATGAAACACAAGATCAAGCCCTTGCGTCAGCAAAAGTTAGGTTCATCGACGAGGGAAAAGGGAAAACAGAGATTCAAAAAACGGGGCCGGGGGGGAGGGAGAGAGAGAGAGAGAGAGAGAGAGAGAGAGAGAGAGAGAGAGAGAGAGAGAGAGAGAGAGAGAGAGAGAGAGAGAGAGAGAGAGAGAGAGCGTTAAAGACCATGAGATCTGTGGATGTTGACCCAGAATATATCATTGATGTTTCCATGTGCGGGCTTAGCCGCACTGGCTTTATTTGTACATTATAAATGTGAGGGTGCTTTCTCTATTTTCCTGGGCTGTTTGTGGCCCGGGAGTGTTATTCTGGAGGAGGCACAAAAAGAGAGAGCGAGCGAGCGAGCGAGCGAGCGAGCGAGCGAGCGAGAGAGAGAGAGAGAGAGAGAGAGAGAGAGAGAGAGAGAGAGAGAGATCCGTATGTCGACCCAGAATATCTCCTTGATATTTCCTTGTGCGGGCTTATTAGCCGCACTGGCTTTATTTGTACATGATAAATGTGAGGGGTGCTTTCTCTATTTTCCTGGGCTGTTTGTGGCCCGGGAGTGATTCTGGAGGAGGCAGCTTGTACTCATGGTCTGTTTACTCAGATTAATTACATCTCTTTGTGTACCATTCAACCACGTAGGCTGAATGGTAGATCTCTTATATACACACATCATTTTAATTGTAATTCTAAATCAACGGTGATAGATTTAACAAAACCCTCCGTCCGGTTGTCGAATGCGCAGGAATGAGTGAAGGCCAAATGAAGAGCGGAAGCAGGCGTTGCAACAGGGAAGCCAGCAGCAGTGAAAATTGATCTATGCAGGTTGAAGCGGGTGCAGATATGATAAGTTTCGCGTCATTTGCCGGTTGAATCACTCTTCACTTGCTGGATCATCACAACTGTATGCCGGTGGCTTTTTGCTTCGTTCAGCACTACAAGAAGTGAGTCTGTGGGTGAGTGAGTGAGTGTGTATACGTGCATGAGAGTGTGTGTGTGTGTGTGTGTGTGTGTGGGTGTGTCGGTGTGGGTGTGTGGGTGCATGCATTGAGAAGTGGGAAGCGGGAAAAGGAAGGTAGAGAGTGCGTGATATTGGTTTTTCTATGATAAGGAGCGGCGATGAACTGTGACAAGGGGCTGATAGTGTGTGTTGCTTTTTTAGCTTAGCGATCGCTCCATCAGCAGACAAGACAACGGATTGTTAATTGGCTGGCTGATTTTCTCTGAATGAGGTCATGAGCGGGACAAAGAAGGAGTGGTACTTCCGGGTCGCTCGAGCGTTGGTTCTTTCGTATGGGGCGATTGCTGCGGCCTGGTACTGGGACAAAACGTCCCCGCTTGGCTTCTGGACCCTGAAACCCCGGACCTCGGAGGAAAGGGCGTTGGCGCATCTGTATGAGCATCGTCAGTTTCCTTATCCGAATGATAAGGAGGCGATTGCGGACTTCGTAGCGAAGGGAGGAGGGTCGGGCACTCAGATCGGATTGCAGACTCAGAGGACAGGAGTGAGAGAGGTCACCGAACCTTCTAGCGACATTCGTGTGCAGTTGCAAAGAGAGAAGACCGAAAAAGAGGCCGAGAAATTGTGGCTTAGGATGAAGCGAGAAGCCATGAGAGACTTGCTTGATCAAGGGTTCGATCTCTCGTCCACCTCGTGAAAAAAAAAAACATCGCCCGTCGACAAGAACTGAGCGGCTTGGATGACAAAAAATACGTCAGTCAGTATATGGTGACATGATGGCCGATGATCCCTCTGCCTCTAGGTCGTGAGAATTTCTTGTGAGAGCAGAGACCAGCGGGGGTCGAAGAGAGGGAACTGGGCGGGGATTGGTGGATGTCACACTCGCACAGCGAAGTCGCAACAATAGCCGACTGAACCTCTAAATCACAATCGCACACCTTGTTTCTGACTGTGCATTGACTTCACTTTTTGTACTGGGGTTCTGATATTGTTTAGGCATTTTACTTGCGTTGGCTTCTGTTTACTTGAATAGAGAGGGTAGAGTGGGAAAGTGGGGGGGAGGGGAGACGGAGGAGCGGGGTTGGTGGACAGAGGGAAAGGCGGAGAGGGTAGGCAGGAGGGGGTTATAATCTGTTGCTTTTGTTGCCGTGTAGGGCTGCAAAGGAGGTCTGGCGTACGAACGGGGGTCTGTCGTTCGCTGGTTCCCACTTCTTTCAGGTGCTGTTTGCAGCACCAGCAGGGTGGGGGGGGAAATAATAATAATAAAAAAGGACGATGCGCTTCCTCTCCTGTTTTGCTGGGGGTAGAGGACCAGGCGCCTTTGACTATCACGTCTTCTCCCAGCCTGCTGAGAGATGGCTCGTTCTGAGGAACAGAACTTCTGGGAATGTACGGGCCATCTGGCGGAGCGGCCCCGAGGGTCTGGGAAGAACAGGGTTCCAATGCCTTGGGCATGCTGCGGCTTCCGAGGGTGATGTCACTGGCACTGGCAGGTCCTCTGAAGGATCAGATGACAAGGGTGTGGCCGCAGCAGAGGAGTCTTCGGCTACTACGCAGCAGCAGCAGCAGCAACGAGTTGCCGGAGGAGGAGGAGGAGGAGGCGTCAAGCACTCAGGCTTCCCCATCAAGGCAGGGATAACCGCCGGTGGTCTGGCTCTTGCTGGGGACAGCATTGCACAGTTTGTCGAGAAACGTCGTAAGCGAGCTGCAATGCGGCCTTGTTGTAGGAAGAAAGTCAACATGTGGGAATATGATTTGTCCCGGATGGCAAGGATGACAAGCTATGGGTTCCTCCTTTACGGTCCAGGCTCGTATTGGTGGTATCGTTTTCTGGACCGCGTGCTGCCGGAGCAAACAGTTCGGAACGTTGCAGCGAAAGTGGTGCTGAATCAGGTGGTACTGGGGCCGTGCGTTTTGCTGGTAGTCTTTGCATGGAACTATGCGTGGATGGGCCGTGCGAAGGAGATCCCAAAGAAGTATAAGGACGACTTCGGTCATGCGCTTGTCGCTGGGTGGAAGTTTTGGATCCCTGCCAGCGTGGTCAATTTTAAGGCAGTGCCATTGAATGGCCGAGTCGCGTTTATGTCTGCTTGTGCCGTTTTCTGGAACTTCTACTTGTCCCTCGTGGTCTCTAAGCCGCAAGAAGCAGAAGCTGCAAGTACCTAGTGCCGATGTCAGCCATCTGCCAATCCTCCTCCTCCTCTGTGTGTGTGTGTGTGTGTGTGTGTGTGTGTGTGTGTGTGTGTGTGTGTGTGTGTGTGTGCTATTGTCCTGAACTTCAAAAAGTTTTCTATTGCCTCTGCTGTAGAGTAGTAATGGTAGCAATAAGAAAGGAGCAATCCTGTTGTATTCTTAGAGGAAATTGTTTAATGTATTCATTCACAGATGGATACTTTGACACGGCATCGACAACAATGGATGGAGGGCGGAGGCTCCTCTCTGTCATAGCGTTGTGCTAGCTTTGTGCCATCGGAGTCGGCAGAAGTCGAGATTCTTTTTCCTCTTGCTCTCGTGAGGTGCAACTTTCTTTCTTGTCCATGATAAATAATGGAGTTTCTCGTCTTGTGTGGTGTGGTTTCCTTTTGGCATTCTTTGTGCAGCGTTGTTTCTTTTGGTATTGTTTGTCCGTGGTCGCCATTTTTGTCCCAGTATGGTACGCTTTCGTTTTCTCATTTTGTGTATGTGGCAAAAAAAGCTGAGGTTGTCGTTCACTAATACCAATTTTTTACAGACACTGCTGCGTTAGCAACTGGATGGAAATGGTGTGTACCTTGTGCTCAAGGTAAGGTACGTACCTATGATGCAAAAGATCATGGACGGAAACAAGGTGCGCAGCTTATGTATGATGGATTGCGGGTAAGGTCAGGTAAGTACGTATTTTCAACAGCGAATTTGGGATACCAACTTTTTTTTCCCCTTTTCCTTTTTTTTAACAGGGAAACCACATGGCCCCTTCTATTCTGGGGGGCATCAGTCCGGTTGCTTATTACCGGCAATCATGACTCAGATAATGAGGGTGAGAATATCAAAATATAGCCCGGCTGTGCCCTTGGGGCACTACCGGTAGTCGCCAGTACACGGGAGAGGCTGCTACGGGGCTTCCCCCCCCCCCAAACCATCGCCTTTTTCGGGGGTCCTCCTGCTGGCCGGGAAGTTTACTGACAGCACCCAGGCATGTAGCAGGAGAGTCCCAAGAAGGGCGGAGCGTGGGG